TATTTGTAAAAAGTTTATTACTGAACACATTATTTTATATATTTAAAAAAATGACAAAATTTGATAAGTTTAAGAAGGCAGGATCAAGTGTTGTGGTTTTGTTTTATTTAATTTCAGCTTGATTTTTTATCACTGTTGTTTTCTTTTATTTTTTTGTACATTTATTTTATTTACTGCTGCTGATGACAAAAGGGGCACTTGTGTTTTTGCCAGTGCCTGTGCGTGTGGACGTGTATTTGGGGACAAAAGCCCTGTCCTCACAGGGACAGATGCTGATTGTTGGTGCGACGTCAGATTTAGGATAAGGGATCAGGGTTAGGCTACATGAGTGAAAAATTAATGGAGGACAATGCAAAGTCCCCATGAGGATAGAAGAACAAACGTGTGTCAATGCATTTCTTGTCTGACTTGTTCACCAAATATCTCATGAACCACTGAACAGCCTCTAATAAAATGCTCAGAAAGTGATCACTCTATGTACATTTAACCTATCACACAGAATCACATCATTTACAAGGTTTAAATAAAAACCACCACAACTTCCCTTCTCAACATAATGATTTTCGTATGAAAGGCATAAAAGGTGGCAAAGTCCTTCAAGGAATGGGCCTGTAATTATAAATGCCCTCAGCCTCCTGGTTTGATCTGCTCAAGAGAGTAGAAAGACAACCTTTCCTTTAGCTTCACGACCAAGACGGAAAATATGAGTTTAAGGAGAAGTAGAAAAAAACAAAAAAGGGATTAAATAAAAATCTGACCACACTTTTCTGTGATGAAGTTCTGCAGAAATAAAACCATGTTTGTTTAAACAAAGAAAAAAGAAACAGAACTAAGTTTTCTTACTGGACGACAGAGGATTTTTAACAAACATCATGTCAGTAAAATAAAATGTAAAATATGACCTCATTATGTGGTTTAGTGATCAAAAACTTATCTTTGAACATTCTCAGAGGTGGCTCAGACTCACTGACCTTTATATTATTTAAATGAGACAGCAGGAGCACTGCTTCTAAAGATGGAAGCACAAAAGTAAACTACGGATTGGAATAATCTCTTCTCTTTCGTAAAGGATGGTCCAGTGTTTCCTGTGCTAATGAAGCTAATTAAGGAAGTAATGGATTTCCTCTTCTTGGACAGGATTTAAACAGCTCTTTCAGTGGCTGGTGGATATTTTCTGGTTTCAGTTTTTTTTGTTTCTCTTTTTCAGGGAGTTGTGGGGGCGGGTGATTGAACCAACAACCCACCAACTGGCAGTCATCTGCTCTTCACTTGAGCCAAATCCAGAATTTAGAAGAATCTGACATGCTAATTTTAGCCTGTTTCACAGGCCTTATATTGCACTAAGTGGTATAGAGGGAGAAGAACACTTAAAAGCAATCTAAAATAGATTAATGGTTTTAAAAAATATTCAGATAAGCGTCAGTATTAATCTGTAGGATCATAGTCAAGCCTTTTGTAAAGACAGTCTGCCCAGAATTGGAAAAGTGTGAGCCAACAAGCATTTCAAAGTGAGAAATTTACCCATTAACAGATGCAGGAGCGGGACCACAGGGGTATTAGCCCCAGCTGAAATCTGACCCCTGAAGTGCCCCTGTTCTGTCCAGTGGTGGACAGTAACAAAGTACTTTTACTTTATTACTGTAATTAAGTACATTTTTTGAGTATCTGTATGTACTTTACTTGAGTAGTTATTTATTTGGGAACGTTTTACTTTTACTCCACTACATTTCAAAGACAAATATTGTACTTTTTACTCCACTTCATTTCTAGGAAGCTTGTA